CATGTTTAGAAATTCTAGAACTAGCATCTGGAGGCAAGTAGATTCATTCGCACTTCACTGAAGACAAAAAGAACTTCATAAATTTGCAAATACATAATTGACCAGAATCTATCACCACAAGATATGACCACTTACGGTTTTAGAACTGAACATTTAAAACAATGGTTGGAGCCTTGCTCATTCTCACCACCCATTGTGCAAAACCACTTTTATCTGAGGTAACCAGTGTCACATCCACACCATACAATTAAAGTACATTTAAAGCATGTGGCTCCCCACCCCCCAAGAACTATGGGACCCATAGTTTGTTAAGGATGCTGTTAACTGTAGCTCTGTGAGGATAAACTACACTTCCCAGGATTCTTTGAGGAAAACCACACATATGGTGAGGATGTGTCCTGGGTTTGGTTAAAAGCAGCAGTAGATACCTGCCTTCTCCTCCTCCAGCATGCAAAAGAGTGAAAGGGAGCAGGGAGTCTGAGAGCCCAAGGTGTCCCATTGCATCTGAGCTGCATGGGCCAAGGGGGTAATCACTGAGTTACTTTATAATTATAGAATGTCCCCATGAATCAGCAACAAGTATATTTGAAAGCCAAAGTGCACATATTCTGTCTGTGTTGAGGTGACTTCTGTACATGGTACTAAGCAATAAAGGATGAAAAGTGATCTAGGATTTTCTTGAATAGATGCTACATTTTTGAGTGCTTTGCTTCAGTCCAGACAGAGAATGCCAAAATCCTCACTTTGTTTTTCTCAGCTGCATACCATAAAGCCTATAATATTTAATGGTGGCCAGAAGGACTAGTGCAGTGTCTAAACATAGTAACTTGCCTCCGACCATTAGATCATTTTAGACCCACAGTAGTTATCAATCTCTTCCCTTGGGTGCCATTTATTGTTTTTATTACTTCACAACTAATTAAAGGTTCCAAAAGTGCATTCTTTCAATTGCTAGAGACAAACCTCTGTTTTTAACGTCTCTCTATTACAGTGTTTGGTGAAATGTTTTTCTTTGAGAAATATTTCCTTTTCCTTTAGACATTTCCCGCAACTTACAGTGGCTCATTATGACATTCTGAAACCATCTGTAAGGAACCATTACTGCTTGTGGTTAATGGTTATTTTCTTTGCTCTGTGCTTCTAGATTGGAATTAATATAATAAACTTTTTTTTCCCACTTACGGTTACCATCAGTATTTATTTTTCTCTGCTATTTATAGTGCTCATTCTTAAAAGTGTTTTGGTTCCCCCCCCCAATTATTTCGTGATTATTATTTTTCTAATTTGAACAGTTTGAAAGTTGTATTTCCTGTGCCCACATTGCATCTTCCCAGAGCATAGGACTGACTTCTCAGGGCTCTCAAAACTCATGCAAGCATTCTCCCTGCCTTGCCCTTGTTCCAAATCTGGGAGCTGGCACTACCCTAGGGATGTAGAAGGAATTCAATTTCCGAGTTCGCATTCACAGGTGAATCTATCAAGTTCACCCTTTCTGAAACAATATGAGAATCAAAACACAGTCATCTGCAAAAAATTGCACTTATCTGAATTTTGTGATACAGTTCTCCAACTAATCAATGTTTACCAAAATACATATATTAGGGAGAAATGCATAAAAATGAATATGTTAGTGAAAATAACATACACAGTGCTTACAAAAGTGAATTATAATAGAGAAACTTGTACATTAGTTCAACCTGTTTACAAAAAAAATGTGTTTATTGGGGGAAATTCATATTAAAATGCTGTTGAATTTTCAAGAGGATGTTGTTGTTTTTAAACAAATTGCTTCAGAAATGTGGAGGGCTTGAATTAAGATAGGAAAGAATGAGAAACAGAGAGAACTGAAACTGACAGCTCCTTCCATCCCTACCCTGAACCAAAGTGGAAGCAACCATTGGCACTGATTTATAGGAGCAAAGACCTTACAAAATACAGCAACACCATGCAGGGCACTTTGGGGGGTAAAAGGGCAATGAGGCTGCTTGTAAGCCACCTTCTATCCCAAACCAACTTTTGTGACCCAGGGGCACATTTTAAAATCTAAGAACATCTGCAAGCTTTGTATTTACAGTGGTGCCTTGGTTCTCAAACTTAATCCGTTCCAAAGCCAAAGCGTTCCAAAACCAAGGCGCGCTTTCCCATAGAAAGTAATGCAAAACAGATTAATTCGTTCCAGACTTTTAAAACCAACCCCTAAAACAGCAATTTAACATGAATTTTACTATCTAATGAGACCATTGATCCATAAAACAAAAGCAATAAACAATGTACTGCAGTCACACAATCAATCAATCAGTAGCTGAACTGGGTTCCACACAGTCACACACAAAAAGAGCCTCAATAACAAAAATGCAAAATAAATAGCAAAAACAGACAGACCTCAGCATAACATTCAAAACGGAAGTGTAGCACTCAAAACGGAGCACGTTCAGCTTCCGAGAAAAGTTCGCAAACCGGAACACTTACTTCCGGGTTTGCAGTGCTTGGGTTCCAAGTTGTTTGAGTACCAAGGCATTTGAGAACCAAGGTACCACTGTATGTATAAATGGATTTGTGTATGTAATGTATTTTTATATTGTAAAATCCCCTGTGATCCACTCTATATTTATTTATTGCATTAGCCGAGTGGCCATAGCATGATATACATTGAAATAACAACATAAAATGGGGGTGGGGAGGTAGAGGTAGACATCGTCCTGGGCGAATACTTAAAGAAAGTGAAAAAAAAAAAAAACCAAAAGCTGCTGAGGCTGGAGGAGGACCGTTAAAGGGTCCTTCAGCTCCTCAGATTAGTCCTAACTCGATTGTCCTTGTACAATAAGGCTACTTGGAACTTCGTTCGGTTGTGCGGCGTATCGACTGCATCTGTGGTGTTAAGGAAGAAGTTAGTGCCGCTTTCCTCTTCATCACACTAAGCAGGAAATTAGCTGTCATCTCAGTAATCCAACAATCAGAATCCTGCAAAAAGAGGGACACTATCCAAGGCTGGATTGGGAGATGGAACTTATTCACGAGGGGAGTTAAAAACCGAGATCTTTCATCTGTCCAGTTGGGACAGAAGAGCATTACATGTTCCATAGTCTCCAGGGCCGTGTCATTACAGGAGCATGTTCTGTTTGCGATGGGAACTCTGGAATAACGACCCGACAGAACTGCTGTAGGAAAACAGTTGAGACGGGCACAGGTAAAAGCCCTTCGCTTAGTCTCCGAAGAAATTGTGAAGCAGTATAGAGGGATCCCTTCAGGAGTGGAATAGCGAGGGCTAGGCCTGAACACGGTCCTCTTGCACAAGAAGCTGTGTTGGAGAAGTCAAGTTGCTGTAGTTTCTTTTTAATTAGGGGTAGGGCCACCGGGCTGATACACTCTAAGTTAAGAACAGTTTTACAATTCAGATTGAGAAGAGGCGGAATTTGAGGTTAATTGTAGTTTTCCAAGGGGAATTATGAATATCTCTTAGGATCAGATTGGAAAAGCCACCTCTAATTCGAGCATCCGATGCTAATAGGTGGAGGGTGTAGGAAATGGCTCGGCTCCATGCTCGTCCAGCAATTGAAGGCTGGGCGAACTCGAGTCGTAGGGCTGCACCTGAGACACATCTCGGGACGCCGGAAAGAGATCTCAGAAACATATGAAGTGGACGATCCAGGTTACCTGATATTGCTGTAGTCCATACTTCACATCCATATAATAATTTAGGGACGACTTTGGCATTAAATATTTGAATTGCTGCTGGAAGGTGTTTGCCGCCCTTCTGGTGGTAAAATCGGACAATGGCGTTAGAGGTCGTGGTTGCAGCGAGAAAGGCAGATTGTAGATGGGTGGTCCAGGAGAGATTATAGGTGAATATTAATCCTAAATATTTAAAGGCTTTTACCTTTTCTAAGTAGCCACCTGTGATCTTAAGCGGCTCCAACTTGAGTTTGCGGGAGCGAGTGAAGTGGAGGACTTTCGATTTTTATAATTAATATTAAGAGCTTCCGCCTTACAATAGGCGATAAATGCATTAACTGCATTTGCTAGATCCGCAGCTGTTCTGGATAAGATGACGGCATCATCAGCATAGAAAAGGGAAGCAACGGGGTGGCCTGCTAAGTGAGGAGGATACTTAGATGCTAGCTTCAAAGTGGAAATTGCATCATGAAGATAGAGATTAAACAGTAAAGGGGCCAAGAGGCAACCTTGTCGGACGCCCTTGGCCGTTGGAAATGGAGTAGTGGGGAGCCGTTTGGACTAGTTCGGACGCGAGCTGTGGTGTTTGAATAAAGGGAGATAATTAGGGAGAGAAGGTGCGGATCAATTCCCAGATGGGCAAGTTTGGACCATAATCTCTGCCTAGGAATGGAATCAAAGGCGGCCTCCAGGTCCATGAAAGCGGCAAATAGGTGGCCTTGCCTTGGAGCAGTGTATTTACTGGCAAGGTGAAAGAGAGTTAGACAATGGTCCATGGTTGACGCTGACTTTCGGAAACCAATCTGTTCTAGCGGTAGAATGTTCCTCTCCTGGACCCATGAGAGAAGTTCCTCCAGTAAAACAGCGGCAAATATTTTCCCGGGATGGATAATAAGCTGATGGGGCGATAGTTCCTAGGGATGTTTGGCTGGCCGCCTTTGAAGATCGGAACTATTATAGCTTCTCTCCAGGAGTCGGGGATGTCTAGGGCGGAGGAGATAGCGGTGAATACAGGAGTCAGGTGTTCGCTCCACCAAAGAGGATCAGTCAGGAAAAGGTCCAACGGGACCATGTCTGGGCCGGGGCCTTATTCCTTTGCATTGACATTATGATGTTGAAAATGCGAGTTGAAGTAAAGTTTATTGAAGAAGTGGGACTAAGAGAGCAGGAACTGAGGTCCAATGGGGATTGAAGGAGATCTGTAAGATGGTTTGGAGAAGCGAAACTAGTTGAATAATAAGCAATCCATTCATCCGCGGAAATCTGGGTAGCTGGATTGAATGGTGCCGAAGAGTCTAACTAGGCGCCAGAAGGAGCGGGAGTCATGCCTCTCTACAGCCGAACGAAGAGTGGACCAAGCCTCAAAGATGTACTGCTGTTTCTTGCAATGAATCATGTTTCTATATGTCCTTTTAATATCTATGAGCTTTGCACGGGTTTGGGGGTCGTTGGAAGATTTGATGATTCTGACCATTTTCCTAATTCGCCTTCTTAGGGCTTTACATTCCTTGTCAAACCAGGGCGATTCAGAGAAGAGGCGTTGGTAAGTAGGCGAGGTGGTGGTTATGTAAGTTGTTGAGAAAGCATCAAGTAATTTCCGGTATTGGTCAGCGGGCAGGATTGGATCAGAGGGAACTGCAGACATATCAAATGATTTTTGTATGTCCAGGGCAAGAGAGGAGCTGAGGCTTGTCCATTTCTTTGTTTTGTATACAGGGTGGCTTTGTACCATGGTTCTATAGTTTGAGGAGACTGGGAGTGGCTCTATTAGGTTTAACATTAGAGTCAATGGAAGGTGGTCACCACCAAAATATTCAGCCACTTCCATTTTTGTAGAAATTGAGAATAGCTCCGGCGTCAATAAAATGTAGTCGACAACACTGGTTCCCCGGGCAGTGATGCACGTTTAGTGCTGCGAGGACAAGGGAGTAATGTTACCATTTGCGATGCAGAGATCGTGTTCCCTGGCCAGTTGGGCCATCAGCCTCCCAGACGCATTTGTTATAGGATCAAGAGAGCATCTGTTTCCCCAGGGGGGCTGCAGGGGATTGTCCAGGAGTGCTGCGGGAGATATTATATCATCGTCGTTGGGACCTATTCTTGCATTAAAGTCGCCTAAGAGGATTTGAGGAGTCCTGGGTTAGTTGTTTGGAGATCATGGAGCCAAGACGAAAGTTCAGACCACCTTTCATTGCGGTCGAAATCATTAATTGCTGGGGGCAGATATACTGTAGTTATCAACCATGGGCTTTTGGTCTTTGGGAGATGAATCTTTATGGTGAGAAAGTAAGGGGAAGATTTAATTTCCTCGCAAATAGTGAGGGTAAGCTGGTTGAAATAAGACAGGCGAGGCCAACTTGGGGCGACCCCTGTTGGTTAGTTTACTGAGCACAGGAGCTAAAGGAGCAATAATTTGGGAGAACAATACTTTGTTGGGACCAGGTCTCTTGGAGGCATACAATGTCGAAAGAAGAGATGAGATTCATTGCTTCAGGATCCATTTGCTTTGTCGCCCAGCCGTTAACATTCCAGGAGACAATTTTAAGGCTCTGGGGTAGGTTGGGTGCGTCTTTCAAGGAAACAACTGCTTTTGCTTGATTTGTGAGTGAGGGTTGAGTCTGTTCGTATCTAATGATATCGGATTTCCGCGGAGATAGGGAGCCGGCTGGTGTTTGTCTCTGGTCTAATCTTTGTCAATTATTTCCCAAGGTGCTTTTAGGGATTACTTTTTTATGAGCCGGCCCATTGCTCTCCATACATGGCAAACTAGCCAAATGTTCTATAGTTTCGGCTGTTAACTGTTGAATACTGACATTAGTGGTCACCGGGCCTTTGAAGTGTGTTATCTCTTTCCGTAGGTGTTTTCCGGAACCTGATTGTGGCCTAATTCCGCCTCATCTAGATACCTCAGCTTGTCCCAAGAGCCTGGTGAATTCACCTTCGGGATGGTTCTCTTTATTGGAGGTGGTGTAGTGTTCTCTTCAGTGTGCTGGGCTTCCTTAATTGGGAGTAAATTAATCTCAGCCATTGTCTGAAGGTAACATGGCCGACAGGCCGCTGGGTTTGGTTCTTGTGTAGGGTTCAAATTATAGGAAGTCTGGTCCTTTTTAAGGGCGTCCATATTGATTTCCTTGTTTGTATCTCTCCCAGCCAGCTTAATTCTTAGCATATCCAATCTTTCTAATATTTCAGCTTGTATTGGAGATGGAAAATGGCGAAATTGCCTAATTAAGGTATTTTCTTCCGCGGAAAAAAGATCCTCATCTTCATTCTCTTGAAGTTGCAGGTCTTGCAGGTGGGCATCTTTCCTTTTTAATTTTTGAAGCTCTCGTTTCTGGAGACCAGGCCGGGTTTTGGGAGGTTGTTTCTCCTTACTAGGGTTTGCGTGCTTGGCTTCCAGAAGGGGATTCGGTGGTGCCTTGTTTTCAAAAATCTGAGAATTTTTATCTGGGCCTTTAAGAATATATATCTTGATCTGTAGATAAACTTGGCCAGGTTCTGGTCTCTAAATGTGATCATTGCTCTCATTGAACAACCATCATGATGCAAATAATCTACAGAAATAATGTCATATGGCTTTACTGCTCCTGGCAATATATCATTCAGAACGTTCAAGGAGCTCATTCTTCGTTCTTTCCCTGTAAGGAAGCCCTTTGATTTTGGGAAGTTTGTAAATACTAATATTGAGGGATTTAAAATCAGGTTCCAACATCTTGCCTGAATAAAGGTTTGCCCATCTTGTATAGTGTTGTCATCGCGATTGGGCATTGCATCGTCCCCATTTCCCGATTTGCTAAGCGGTTTGCTGCCTTCATTGTTAGGGACCACTTCTCCCCCAGAATCTGGTTCGCTGAGTGAACTGTTACCAGAACTCTGGGACGTTGCTTCCGTCCTCCCACTTAGTTCTGAATTCTGGTTCAGAGATGCCACCTTAGCCATTAGCTTTGGCGATGGCTTCTTTTTCCCCTTCCTGCCATTCTCTTTTTTATCTCGTATCCTGTGATCCTTGGATGAAGGGTGATAAAGAAATATTATCATTAGTAGTAGTAGTAGTAGTGGTGGTGGTAGATGGCAGCTATGCTTCAGAACTGAATGCATGTTTAGTACAAGACTTTCTGGAGGAAGGTATTTGTAGATACCATAGATTTGATCCCAAGATAAATGTCACGTATTGCAAAACCTTGGATTGCTCTCTGCCGGGAGGATCAAAGGCTCCCACTACAAACCTGCTCGCATTGATGTGGCGCATACTATATGTTTTTCCTAACCTCTGAATCCAATTTGGCATGGAAGCAAGAGAAACTGCTGAAGTGGCCATACTTTTCCTTTCAGGTAAACCATTGCCTCTGGTTGTTTTTGTATCCAGTTTAAAAGAGGGAAACGCTGTGCTCTTATTGACATATATCATATGGATTACTATTTGAAGCAGACTGTTTGAAGCAACACTCCCATTTTTTAAATTGTAGCCGGGAGGCATCTCAAATTACAGGTCAATGCATAGAAGCAACCCAGTGAACTTGAGTTTGGTAAACAGATTTGTCCAAGCAGGAAAGCTTGCACAACGAGGAATATACAGAAGACCATACTGGGCGGAAAATATTTCCCCCGTCTCCGTTAGATTTTGAATGTACACGCAGCCTATTCTCTTAGCGGAAGCAAAATGAATTTGATTAACTTACAGGTTGTGTTCTATAGTCAAACTCACCTTTACCTACCAAGGGGAACATACAGTAACTGACTTTTCAGAGTTCAAAATTTCTTGGAGAAGAGGAGAGGCCTAAAAAGGGCTGTGTGCCAAGACAAGAAAATGACGCCTAGCAGTTAACTTGGGAACCAGATTTCTGAAGTCCTCTTCAGTCTTTCCAAAGGCTGGTGTGTCCTATGCCCTTTCAGCAGGTGGAATTTATGAACAGCTGAAGAAAGCTAAAAGGAAGGTCGCTGCCTCATACAGTGCTCAGAAGCCTCAGAAATATGTGGCTAGCCACTCTTTGTTTTAAAAGCAACTTGTTACAAAAGTGTACACATATAAATCATACAACATGAGGTGACTAAAAGGGGGGCACTATGGAGGTAAAGTACTAAGCATATTAATTTACATTCAATAATAATGAGATTATTGCAGTAACCCAGTAAACTGAGTTCTTCAATAAATCAACTTGGAAAACACAGAGTAATAGTAGTGAACTAAAGAGTAGTGCCTGCTTATCCATGCCATGTTGCAATATATGTTGTAGGTATTCTTCATCCATGTGTTGTTTCATTTGCACATTTTTTAAAAAAGCACACCATACAGTGCAAAAATTACATTGTTTTTTCTCTCACCACCTTCATTTTTTGTGAAAAAATGCTTTTCAATTATGGCTTTTTGCCAGACTACATTATATCAGTGATATATTCATGAATAGCAAGGTTTTTCAAGTTCTGGCTATTACCATTGTAGCTACTGTTAATAAATAGGTTATCAATTTCTTACTTCTTAATTGGTCAATATCTGATGTATATAAATTAAGGAATGAGATACCTGGAGTTATTGGGATTGTCTGAGCTTTAATCTGAGATCTCTTTTTTAAAAATTGTGGACATTCCTACCACATATGCTGGTATGTACCTATAATTTGATATCATCTCCAACATAACAGAGGGCTATTGGGCTTTATATAAGATAGGTACCTCGGTGTTAAATACTATCCATGCACAATTTTTAGTGTCCATTCCCTAGTAGTTACGGACAGATATTTATATGATGCTTTGGTCCATAAATTGGTCCATTTATCCTCTGGCTATCCACTCTATGAAACAGAATATAGCATACTGCATAGAGTACATTCGCTAAAAGGATATCACAGCATATTTCTTGCCTTCATTTATTTAGGAAAGTGTAGAAACTGCTTATTTCTCCCCCAAAAAGACTCTTAAATAGTATAAAAACTATCAATAGAACCCAGTTAAAATCAGCATTTAAAATATATATATACATAACAAAATCTAGTGATTTATCTGTTTACTTCTTACTTTGAATTTAGTGTGTGGTCATTTTCATTCATTGCTCCTTGCTTTTTGTTCTTTAGCAAATTTTAGATTGTATTTGTTTTATATTTCTCATTGGAATTCAATCTGAGGCCATCTTGGCATAAAGCAATGCTCAAATTTATAGCAACAACAATGCCCTGAGATTTTTATGGAACTTTTGTACAACACCATGAGAGCCACAGTTTTTATTCTGTTTCAGTCATGGGCTAACTACTAGAGTATAGTGAGCCACTTGCAATAGAATATCTTCGCTTTCCCATTTCCACCAAGAATCAATACAATGTCTATTTATAGAAAGGCTTCCTTAAATTAGACCTTCCAAGTGCTAAGTAATATTTGACAGCTGCTCCTCTTGTTGAAGGTCTTGTGACCCTGTAATAAAACTGATTAATGGAGTGTCACACGAATCAAAGGCACTGCTCTTGACCCTGATTTGCAAATACATTTTCTGTCACCTCTTGCCCTCTGTTTGACACTTTTGACAATTCAATATCCTCTTGCAATTAGATGTGCTGTCAATTTGTCTTTCTGGTCTCATAGCTCTGATAAGCACGTCTCCTTAGCACATCTTCAAGAACCACATGGTTGTTTTTGATGGCAAATATATTACATAAATTAACATCTTTTTATTATGTGCAGCTTCCTTAATAGTCATTCCTCAAAATCCGGATTCTACTTTAGAAAAAATGTGTCTTCACATGG